TGGATAGCCATCACCTGCTCAGTGTCTTCATTATGACGGTTTTAACTCTTTAGAGTTTTAATACAAACAAACTCTCTGCCCAGGGGCAGCTGAGCTTGGAAGCTGCTATTTTTGGAAAAAGCAGAAGTGTATGTTTCCAAAGTTACTTCAACATGGTACAGCCACTCCTGGGAAGTATGTGGCATTGTGTTAAAATACACCTGAATGCTCCAGACCAACAAACTGCCAAAATTCCTATGACCGAAGTAAGAGTGTACTTAGATTGTACCTATATGACCATAGCCAGAGTTTACTGATTTATCTCTCCATTTAAAGAACTTAAGGAAACAGAACAAGCCACTATTTGTGCTTCAAATTCAAAGTCTTCAACTTGTGAAACACTAAGGGGCTTTTATTGTGAAACACCCAAAAACATTTATAACAGATTATTGCCATTTTTAACTTTTAATGAAATAGATCTAATAGATAATTGCCTAAATCATCATTGCATTAATAATGAATCATTTGAGACCCTCAAAGTTTTCCATCAGCTGTGTCCTGTAACATTTTGTAGTTCACAAAAAAAAGTTTGCCTGTCTTAAAAGTAGAGCGCCCTCTGTAGGAATTTAGTAAAATGAAAATGCACACCTATAACAATCATTTGCTATGAGATTTGTTAGCATAAGATTGCCTTCTGCTGGTTTTTGAGGTACTGGTTAAGCTAGGTTTTGCCCATGTGCACCATAAATCTGCCCAAAAGCACCTTTAAGGGTCGCTAATCAATATATTACTTTGTTCCTATTAAACATCCAAAAAGAGATCAGAGTGAGTACAAGCAATCCCTGTGAGGTGAAAGCTCAAGCTTCAGTTCTTTATACTCTTGCCGGTGTATGACTTCATAGAGAAGAGATAATCATAATATGGTCATCTCAGCGCAGAAGCACAGAAATCCTGCCCACCTGAGCTTCAAACCTTATGTTTGCGAGGCAGCAAAAATGAAGAAAGAGAGCTTACAATGGCTTGTGGATGAGCTACAAGATCACAGATTATTTTGAAAGAATACAATCAGTATAAAAAAATATGGAAGTTGAAAATGTGTGAGACGTTCCTTTTAATCTCTAGAACAATTAATAAAGAAAACAAGTATTCAAGTTACATTTACTGCTCTTGTGTTTATTCCCCTGAATCATGCCTCGTCTTGTTTGCTCTGCTATGTCTGGATGTGTAGTGGAAGAAGTGAATAGCTGTCTTTTTTTTCTCCACGCCACGAGATAAACTGCACATGCGAAGGCGGCCCTCTGCTGCCTTACCTTGCAGTCACAGCCCATCTGGTAGCGCTGGCTGAGGCTCTTCTTCTGGGTGGTGCTCAAGGAGTCCCAGGGCATGATGTAATCACACAAAGTCACATGCATGCTGCCGCTGGCCTCGGCCTTGCCTGTATATAAAAAAAAAAAAAGAAAAAGTACACGTGTGACAGACAAACTTCAGACATAACAATATGCATGGTAAACACCACCATCACCAAGGCCAGGGTGCATCAGTATAAATGTTCTGGAAAAAAATCTGAACTTGTAAACATCAGATGACAGATTCGTGGAAAACCACTGATTAAATTTGTTACTTTCCAGACTGGTGCCTGCAGGCGTCAACACGGGCCACCTGTCCTCGTCAAGAGCTTGTGTTTATGTTTCGTGCATAAAGGGGCACCAGTCAAAACAAGCGGATATTTCGAGATGAGATTACAAATCTATGGAGGCTGCACCCTCTCCACTTTGCCACTATCTGTCTGCATAGCAGCTCCCAACACGCATGTCCTCGCAGACGGGACTGACTCACATTTCAGTGCAACTCCTCTACTCGTTAACCCTTTGCACTAAAGAAACGATGAATCATTCTGAAAGATGCCCCGGTCAGCAGAAATCTAACTTTCTTTCCCACTGCATAAAGTCCCTACATCTTGAGAAAAGAGAGTTGGGGAGAAAATGCTGGCTTCAGCAGTTCCTCCTCTTACAACTCTCTGTAATTACGGGCCAGTGTTTGCGGGCGCATCTCTGAATGTGATGGAGAAACCAGAGCACGAATGACATCACGATCCTCTGTGTCTCCGCTACTCTGCCTATCTTGCTTTAAAAATCGAAACAACCACCACAGGAAGAAAGCTGTGTCCAGGTATAATTATATTTGATGGGCAACACATTGGTGTGCCTCACAGAAGCTGGCTGGGCCTTTTCTGTTGAGGGTTGCATGTTCTCCTCATTTCCTTCCACAGTCCAGAGACATGAACATCAGGGTACTGGTGATATTAAAGCGGCTGTAGATGTGAATAATTGGCTGTCACTGCCTTATGACAGACTGGTGACCTGTCCAGAGCGTACCAAAGAGGTGAGGAGCTGAGGAAAGGCTGTCGGTGGAGCTGTGGGTGGCCGCATGATATATAACCCACAGAGGGCACCAACCATAAAAACATAAAACCCATCTACTAAGATTTTTTTTGCTTCTGTGATCTGAGTACTGCAACAGACTAAAGATCTACTAGTAACTAACAGACAACTTTGTAGATAACGCGGGTAATGAGCTAATCTAATCAAAACTGGAAATCAGCAGCTCATATTCCCATTAGAGGTGGGAATCACCATACATCCCATGATACGATATTATCACAATACTTAACGCACGATACGATATTATTGCAATTTTTTAAAATATTTTGCAATATTCAGATTCTGTACATAAAGGTAAACTTTATCAATATTCATTTTATCTAATATCAAAGTCTCACACTCAGTCTTTCTCTCATTTCAGTCAGTTTTATTGTTGACAAACTGAACGGCTTGTATTACAGTCTAGTCCAACTTAACTGAATGCTACCATCTGGTATAATTATAGCTATTCTGAACTATGAAATTTATGAAAACTATGCAGCCCCTTCAGCAACTGAAGAATTTGAAAGTAAATTAAAACAAAATATAATTTTACATTAAATAAAAAAAGTTTTAAACTTAATTAAAATAAAACATGTCTTAAATTAAAATAAGTTAACTGTCATGTTTATTGCTGCCAAAAAAAAAGTTAAACACATTTGGACAGTGAAGGAATGTCAGGATTCTTGCTCAGAAAAAGGATCAACATGCTCTGAAGTCACACAAAAACCTTTTTTGCAACAAAATATCGATTTCTGCTGTCCCTGTATCGATACATTATTAGCAAACAAAATATCACGATACTACACAGTATCGATTTTTTCCCCCACCCCTAATTCCCATATGCGTCTGCTCTGTTTAGCAATGACTGGAAACACAGAATCAAAGCCATCCATGCTGTCTTTTATCTGCCTGCTTATTTAAAGAGCATTAAAGTACAACACATTATTTAACAGTAAAATATTGTTTCGTTCAAACAAAACTTAAAATTATGTTCTAGAGTCCTTTTTTGTCCAGTATCATTAACTATTTAAATATTAACTGTTAAATATTTCCAATTTTATTCTGCTTATCCAGGGCTGGGGGTCTAACCTGGGCTTTTCCTTTGTTGGGACGTCCCCGGTACACTTCACCCAGGAGGGATCCTTGTCATCCTGACCCACCTCAGCTGACTCCTTTCGATGTGGAGGAGTAGCGGTTCAACTCTGAGCCCCTCCCGAATGACTTCTCGCTCTATATCTAAGCAAGGGGTTGGCCAGTCCCAAAGTGAGAATCATACTAAGCTAAACCAACTAAGGCCTCTGTCAGACAGGCCTAGGAACTCGTCATTGATCCATCAGGGAAAAGTATGCATTTCCTAACCAGTTTCTGAGTGGTTACAAACCAGAAACTGTGACTCTTTAAAGTAAAAGTTGCACCTTTTGAAATGTGTTGGGTAAAATATTTAGGCAGATTTTATTCCATGCAAACTGGGAACAACTGTACTAATCTCCCAGCAACAAAAGCAATCACAAGGGCCTTTGTGGTGGCGCACCCTCTTGCTGGAGCAGGAGGAGACTAGGTATGGAAACCAATTTTTATCTAGAACTGGGAGTACACTGGCTTGTGGCCCCACTGTGGATGGGTTAACTCTAAATATTGTCAGCTAATGCCCAGCTGTGTTTTGGATTTCTACTATCTCTACAGAAGTTAGAGGTCAGAAGCCTCTAACTTCTGACCCTTTAGCAGCAGAATAAGCAGTTCATCAACTTGTCGCTAACACTGTTTGTCTGTTGTTTGGGCAGTGGGTTTCACAGCTTTTCCTCTAAAGACAAGCAGCTGCCTGCTGTGGCTGACAGCGGTGCTATTGAGACACTGACGCCAAAGCCAAACTGTAACGCTGTGGTCAGAAAGGTAAACAATTGGCTGAAATTTGTTGCTCTGAGTTTAGAAGGTTTGTTCACCACTTCAAGTTACTCTGTTGACTTTAGGGCAGTCACGTGATGTGCTGTTAGTGTTAAATAATGAATACAGCTGGTTTCAGTTTACAAATTTTGAAAAATGACGCAGATGTTATGCAGATGTAAACAGTCACTAAGGCATAAAATACCTCAGGAGCTTAAGCTGTACCACAACAGACAAGGTCCCTCCCAGTCTCCACAGGATTTAGCCAGCAGAGTATCATTACCTATAATAACATAAACAGCTGCTCCACCAACATGCAAAATTGCCCACTACTCTTTATCCGATCTCAGGTTTGTCTGCCCGGCTGTTTGCACCTGCAGGACCATATCTGATTATCTGTTTGCATGTTCTGTGCTGTGCTTCTCTCTGTCTGTGCATTCTTTCACTTTTTGTTTTATATAATGATGTATACAAACTATACATCATTATACCTATCCCTCCGACAACAGCAGCTTCTTTTCCACAAGCTAGCTGAGATTATCAAATTTCATTTGCAGTATTATTTCCGGGAGACAGGGGATATTCACACAAACCTGAGATCAGATACTCCTTCTTGCCGGTGGCATCAAGGGTGACGCCGCAAACGGCGGACACGGGAGCAGTGAAGACAGATTCGATGTCCTGGGTAGGTCCCTTGAACATCTGAAAATTAAACACAGTGCACAGGGTATTAATAGTGGACTCAATGTCAAACCTTTTTGGCTAAAACAGTGAGGATATTCTTACCTTGATCTGTTTGACCTCATACTGGATCCTCTTGATGGGGTTCCCATAGATGTCGTTCCCAGAATCCACTTCTCTCTCTCCCACCACCTTTGCTCGAATCACTGGTTGGGAAACACAGAAACACGGCGTCAGAGGCTGCAGGAATTCATCGCATTTACTCACTGAAGCTTTCATTGTCTTTCATACCAATGAACAAAAGAGTAGAAACAAAAAAAGTCAAAATGATTCCCACTAAAAACGATAAAAAGGGAAACCTGCCAATGTTTGTTGGGTAACGGCTAAAACTTTGGATGCAGGCCCCATAAGCCCCGTACTGTAATTGGTGTTCGTCTGCATGTCCACCAATTAGGTCAAAAAGTAGATGAACGAAACTAACTCCCCCCTAATTAAGTTAAAGTAACTCACAAATGAAGCAAAAGGTTAAACAAAAGGTTAACAACTATGTTACAAAATATCAGTTTCCTTTAATCAAAACTGAAATTTACGAGTTTGTAAACAAACAAATGCATTTCGACAGGAATCACCCCATCACTGATTTAGCAACTGTAAACCATCTGTAACTTAAAGGGACCTACTATGCTTCTACTTGTTTTCAGTTTTACATACACTGTTACATGGCGTTCTCGAATAACGAGAACAGTTTGTGTACAAATAATGTCTGTGATCAATGTTCACACGTCAGCCTGCTCTAAACACACAGTTTAGCATAGTTTTTTCTACTTGTCGTTCTGTGTGATGTCACTGAGAGCAGACATCCCTAATATGCTGATGTGCTGAGGTGTGTTGATCAAATCTTCTACTACTGAGGAATAGCCGCCTGGACAAAGAGGCTTAAAAGGAGGCGTAAAGGGGTGTCTCTAAAGGACATGATTAAATTCAGTTGTAGTATATACAGCGTCAAATCACAACAACGGTTTCCTCGAGGTACTTTATGCTGTAAGGTAAAGACTACAATAATACAGAGAAAACGCCAACAATCCCAACACCTTATCAGTGAGCAGCTGGTGAGAGAGAGTGCACCCAGTACACAGGAAATAATGACATAACCCTATAATAAATACATTAGTTTCCAGAGTTATAAATGTGAGGCTTATGAATACTGCTATCTCAACCTTAATAGTACAGTATACATTCTAAATTGGCTAATCCATCATAAATTTATTATGTCTTTTGTAGGGCTGTGCAATATGAACAAAATCTCATATCCCGATATAAGAATTCTATCGTCCCGATAACGATATAAATCACAAAAATGTAACATTTTCTGTAAATTCTGTGAATCTCGTGCAGCTCGTCTTGCGGGAAGTGTTTCCTGCTGCGCGTCATGTAGCTGGAGTCGAGTGTTTTAACAGACATAAGTTGTAACAGCCGCCGTTTTCTTTGTGAGTAATTATGACACTGCGGGGAACAGCCTGTTCTAACGTTTGAGTCTAAGGTTTATTTTTTAGCACCTGGCGGCTCTTTTTTACTTCTCATCCGTAAACAATCTGCTCTTTCACGTGATTCAGTTTATTTTGAAAAGTCTCAACAGGATCTTGAGCTTTATTGTGAAAGGTTTATGTGGAACATAAACAAGCGGACACACGATGCTGTTACCGTCGTTGTTGCTAACCACAACGCATAAAAACAGGCGCTTGTCCGTCCGTAGTGTGGTTATATTAAATATAAGAGAGAACTTTAAGAAATTAATATAGCCACTACACTGACCATCCAAACAAAAAAAATATTGCCGTAAACAGTTTATTTTGCGACACCACGAAACAAACGATAGCATAAAATGAAACTTAGACGTTTTTATATCGTCATCTGATATATATCGTTATATCGAACAGCCCTAGTCTTTTGTTTTTTTTCCGCAGCATTTCATCCAATTTTTCTGCTTGTTATTACAAATGAACAAAAGTGAAACCCATAATTATGTTGACTCCCATACAATGTAATACTGCATAATGGCTATGTTCAAAATCTGGCCCTATTTATTATAAAATGCACTACATTTATAATAAATAAGTCCAGATACATGACAGTCATTTTACTTGAGTCATAAAAATTAGTCACTGGTCTCAAAAACAAAACAAAACAAAGCAGCTGGAAATGTTCACCGCTTACAAAATTAGAGGCCAAAATCAGCATTGCACAGCTCTGATAATAGTAAATGGTAAATAGCCTGTATTTGTATAGCTCTTTACTTAGTCCCTAAGGACTCCAAAGCACTTTACACGTTCAGTCATCCACCCATTCACACACTGGTGATAGCCTCCCCATATGGAAAAGAAATAGTAAAAACTTATATGTGATTTACTCATGAAAGTGGCCACTTTCTCATTACTTTCATATATTGTTTTAGTAAGTATCCAAAACATACAAGTTTCATTATATAATTTTTCAAGGGATCTTATATCTGTTTTCACTCTTATATGCTTTTCATACAAGTTTCACACAAGACAGATGCAAACTTTATAAGATTTATATATATCTTTTCCATATGGGTCTGACCACTACCAATAGGCAACGGGTGAAGTGTCTTGCCCAAGGACACAACGACAGAGACTGTCCGAGTCGGGGTTCGAACCGGCAACCTTCCAATTACAAGATGAGCTGCCAACTCTTAAGCCACGATCACCCCGCCATCATCATTGATGATGATGATGAATGACGAATGATGATGAGCGTTTAGTAATGGGTAGCCACTATATTCTGAGAAATTAACGAGTTAAAAGCATTTCTGAACATACTGCAGTATGCACAAGTATTTCATTGTATTTTTTAAATGTATTTTATTTTTATTTATTTTTTGCCCTTTACTTTCTGGATACAGAAAGTACTTTGTTTGTACCTGCCAAGGACTTTGACTAATAAATAACTGAGCAACACAATCAGCTGCCTCTCTAGAGAGTGTCTCATCCCGTGGATGAACTTCACGGTTTTGCTCTGCAGCAGGGAATCTTACTTTTCCACCTACTGCAGTAACAAATGATGCAGTTGAAGAAAAAAAAGCATTCAGAGTGAAGACATCGATGACCTTGTCAGCTTGCTGGTGATAAAATACTGTTAGGTAGGTTAGGAGCGACTAGACTTTCAAAATAACAGTTGCTAGCAAATCATTTTTGGATGGTGTTCTCTCAGACAGACAAAAAAAAAAAAAAAGAATTGAAATAACTCTGGTACATTGGTGGTCATTATTATACCTCTGTTACCCGCCTAAGTAGGGTCTATGTGTGGAAAACACTGCTTATGACTCCACATCACAGGCTAAAAAAAAGCCCAAACCACCCATCGAGCTGCCATAAAGTCTCATCCAAACACCACAACAAAATGAATTTTAGCATCTAAAGTGGTCCAGTCAATGAAAACCCAACCAGAAGTCGCCATCAGCCAACATTAGAGGAGGGACAGACACATGACTTGGCGTGCAGCACAAACCTTCCTGCTTCAAAACATGACCAGGGAAACCATCACAGGACAAGAGCTGAGGATTAAGAATACAACTTGAAAGCTGATATACTGAGAAGGACTTGGCCAGAGGTTTGTTTCTCACCATGCGTGTGTGTTTGTGCGCGCGTGTGTGTATTTTAACGGCCTGACTGACTTCAAGCTTCAACTATGCTTAGGACATTTATTCAGAATGGAAAATATGAGCAATACAGGGGGAAAAAAACAAAGTAAGCAGGAACAGAGGACACACACACACACACATCTATAAACACACATACAGTCTACTGCTGCTGCTCTTACACCCTCGGGTTCAGTTTATGGCTTAGAGCAGATACAAATATGGAGGTTCACAGCTCCCAGAGTTAATAGTGTCTCTCTTTCTTTCTCCTTCTTTTTTAGTCTTACTAAACATGGTACTAAACTCTGTACAGAACAATCATTTAGTCTAAAAAATGTCCAGAAAGTGAAAATGATACAATGATAACATGTGATGTAAATTATTGTTAAATCCATCTCATTATTAATTCAGCTAGTAATTCAGCGGCCAGCCAAAATAATACCTGCCCTCTTTAAATAAACATGTACACATGTCCAAAATAACACTGCGTTTCCTATAAACACTTCTCCCCATAGCAACCGGTGGTTGTCAACCAATCTTTGGCCTTTTGTGACTGGTGTTGAAATAATTCATACTGAAAAAAAACTACATATATAAAAGGTTCACTGGTAAAGACAGAGACTAAAAGCAGAGTTAAGGAGCCTTTACAATGGTTTTTCGTATGAAAAAAGTCGTGGCAACAACACATGTGGGCTGTTTTTTGGGTGTCTGTGAATCATTATAAAATTTTTAAATATTTTATCTATACCTCTACTAATAAAAAAGTATTACATTGTTTTAAAATTGGATTGGATTTAAATACATTTAGTCCTCACATCATGAGAACTGCCTGCACGTAATGCAGCTTTTTTCCCTCACCTACTACATATCATTCAGATCATGCAGTGTGTCTGTATCGTTAAGGCTGCACTTTACCGTTTGACTAACTATTTCAGGCTGTTTGTTAATGTGTAAATATAACACTAGGCTGACGAAATACATCTGCCAATTTAACCATCATAGTTAAGATGTAGCTAAGATCTCAAATGTTCAACATTCATCCATATTTAGTCCTCAGAGCGAGTCGATTTAGGCTCAGATGGCCGTTGGGCTTGCAGTACATTGGTAAAAATCCTGAAGAAGATGATGAAGAAATCGTTGCAAAACAGCCTCCTCAGCTTACAGATGCGCATTTGGACCGTTTTCTTAATCTCAACAACACTTTAATTGGACCTGACTGCTAATTTTGAACTGACACCATGTTTACATGAAAGCAGTGTATTACTTTGTAATGTGAGGCTGTTCTTAAAGCACACTTAGATTGATAGTATGATCACCTTGCTTGGTATATAGCCTGAAAACGTAGGCTGTTATCTTCATATTACGCCTCTTAATGAGGACCAGATTTGATCTGAATATTAGATTTAAAGGGTGATATAAACTAATTGCTGTTATTATTACGGCTATTGTTGTGTTTACATGTTTTTATAATGTCTCTATGTGGCAATAAAGTAGGGCTGGGCGATATGACCCAAAATTCATATCTCGATATTTTTTAGCTGGATGGCGATATAAGATATATATCTCGAT